AAAAGTTTTTTTTTCTGAGCTCCAATGATTGTTTGAGCTTTTTTCCCTCCCTGAAGGTCTCTTTAAACACAGTCTCAGATGAAAGAGACCAGTTTGTCTCCCGGGAATACCATCATGGCACCATAGAAGCGTTTCCTATGTTGTTGTTGAATGAATGGAAATTCATTTCCCAGGAGGAACCACGACATTTGAACGAATGTCGTGAAGATGGATTCCGAGCCGAGCCCAAGAGTGGGCTCTGCAGACGGCCCGTAGAGCTCAGAAGTGGTAGGTGAAGTCTCGTCAGCTCTCCTGCCAGTCTTTGGCAGGCGAGGAAACGGCCATGTGCCTTAGTTTCCTTTCTCTGACGCGGGATGATAAGTGTGGCATAAGCTTACTGTTCTGACTCATATCTTTCATCTCCGCTCAGATTTTAATTGTGTCTGCAGTCAGCCTGTTGGCTGCATCCACTCTCTACCCTCCATGTAGCAAAGGCCCACTTTCTCTGCTTTCTGTCCTGGGAAAAGTTGTTCCTTCTGGGAGTAATATTTACCTTAGGGACACGAAAACCAGTAATAAAAAAATACCCTTGCTCCCTGCCCTCCTGCTTGATAATTATAGAAGATAAAAATGCCCAGTTCTTAGAAGGTTAAGTAGAATTGAATGCCCACCGTCACTCTGGCGCTTAATTAATGCATCCTGAAATTGGCTCTTACTCCTTTTTATCTTGATTTTTCTAGCCTCGTTTATGCTCTGAAGGATCACTCCTAAATTTTCCCTGTACAAACCTTTGCCTCAGTGTGTTTAGGAAAACCCGAGGTATACTAGCGAAAGTTTGTCAGTATGCATGAGGGTTAAATGGTGCGACTTGGCACAGTCTGGACCAGAGCAGAGCTATGACAGTGTTGGGCCCTGGGCAATGTGTTTTTAAGAAAAGATCAGGAAATTTATTTATAATGCTATTCAGAGAATCCCATTAGTTGGTGCTTTCCCAAGTTACTCTAACAATAATAATCACAATGCTGATACTTTGGGCAGTTTATACGCAAAGGACTATTTCAATCCCCAGGGAAAGAAACCTAAGCCAGAGTGTTTCTTTAGACGATCCAGAAGGCATCTCTGAAAACAAAGGCACATAACCTCATATCACAGTGACACAGAAGGAGGACAGCACATGCTGAGAGTGGCAGGAGGCACAGACTCACCAGGTGGCCTAGCTACAGAAAGGGGACTCACGTCCTGCCGCACTGGAGAGAAGTCCCCTCATTGTCCTGGCTCTGTGATGCTCACCTGTGGCACACCTGTGTCTGGGGCTCGAGGGTTTGACATGCATTGCAGATCTGATATGTTCTGAGGGGAAAGGGTTAATTTTATGAAAGCTTTCATGAAGGATAGGATCGTATTTTTAGCTGCATCTTAAACGTTTTGAAATTTTCATACATATATAGAGTGAGCTGTGATCATATTCACCCCATGCCATCCTAGCCCCTTGACTCCTGCTAACTGCTTCCTCCCAACTTGGCCCCTCCTACTTTCATATCTTTTTATCTATTTATTGTTTGACCCACCAAGTTTAATTAGGGTTGTCTGCGTGAGTGTGGGTGGGGGGATTATATCCCGGAGCACAGGCAACTTACCAGCGGTTACACCACTGGAGACAAGGGCATCTTCCTCTCTGATGGCCACTGACTAATTCTTCCAGATTGACGTCTGCTGACCTACTGACGAGTGTGTAGTTCACACTGTGACAAAGTGGTTCACTTCCCTCAAATAGGTGCAAAATTTTCACGGGCGTATGCCACAACTGAAGTGCTTTATTAGAGTTCTGCATCCAAAGAGCAGTGCATCATGGTAAATAAGAGGAAGAATGTGTGACTAAGTTGGGAATTGAGGTCAGTACTGGCTCCCGGGGCAGCTTCAAAAGCCTTCGTGTGGGAAGCTTTTAGAGTAAATAGGAATGAGCCGATTCTCCATGTGCAATGCTTGGGGAGCTGCGGTGTTCTGCTTCAGGTTCCCATCAGTGCTGTCCCTCATCTGTGCCGAGGGCACCAGTTAGTTAATTAGGAGAGGAAAGTCCCAGAGCCTTTCATAAATATGAATCTGTGATCTCCAACACGACTTATGAAAATCTCCGTAGTTATTCATGTATTTTGAGCCCTAAGGAGCCTTTGCTGTCAAATTTAAATGAATTAATGATAGACGAACGAATACATAAATAAGAAATAACCGCCCACGGGGGCAGTGGGGAAGCCTTCCTGGTGGAAGATCTGCTGGTTAGGAGCGGAGCATAGAACTTAGACCTGAGGTGGTATGTAAGGGCCAGTGGGCACAGCTCAGGTGACAGTAGGCCCTCAGCTCGGGAACTCTTCGTTTGATTTGTTCTAAAGCTTTCTAGTTGCAATGAAAATCCATCTACATGTATTTCATAAAAATAAAAACTATTGTTCAAGAACGCCTGAATTTTGGAGTGCACTGTTCGACTATACCAAGGAAGGCCCTGATGTCTCATTAAAGGAAACCGAAGAAACGAGATTCTGGCTACTGGGGCAGAGTAACCAAGAGCTTTTGTGGGTGTCCATTGGCGCAGACGGTTCCTTTGGTTTTGCTGTATGAACAAGGCAATGATGGGCTAGTCTGAACTCTATTCCTGCCTTGTATTTTCTGAATGACCAGACAGAAAAAGAAATTCTTTTTTGGGTTTTTTTTGGGGGGAGGGACACTGCTGCTTTGTTAAAGTAAGCTTAACTTTAAATAATGCTAATAGGCTTCAGAAATCAGTTTATATAATATTTCATAATAATTTATAATATTCTGGAAAAATGCAAATAGACTGTAATGAGCCAAAGCACCCTAGCACTCATTTATTTATTAGTAATTTATGCTATTTTCTTACACCACCTAAAGTGAATGCGATATCGGTGCATTTGCATCAACCACTCCAAGCCATTAGAATAGTATTTGGAAGTCCTTAATTAATTTTAATTTATGACCCCTGCCTTGAAGTGCGTTCCCTCAGTACTATTCCGCTTGTTGCTGCCTCCTTTGTATTTATGTATGACGTCTCACTGGAGAGCAGTAATGCAAGTCCACAGACTTTCCGTAGGCAGCGATGTGATCCCTGTTTCGCGGATGGGAATGGGAGGCACAGATGGCTGTGATTAGCCCTGAGAGACGAAGCAAGTTCGAGGCAGCTAAAAACGGTAGTCAGGCATTAGCGCCCATTCTTCCGCTGGCACCCTCCACGGCACCAGTGATCATCATCGTCTATCCATATCATGACTATTTTTTGAATACCTAATTGGCACATTTTATTAAATGCTACTGGGGACTAGATTAAAATCCTTAATGCCTGGCAGCTGTTTCTCGCGGTGTCATTTTCTGAACTTCCGTCAGCCTCCCGATGCTGCAGTGGCGGAGGCGTTTGATTTAGAGTCAGTGTCTTAAAGTGGCCGTCTGGCTCTGCTGAGATCCCTCAGAGGCATTGTCTTATGTCTCTTGGCAGAGTTAACAAATTCTGCATCCAATTCAGACTTAGTTGCATTTAAGGGCCCCTGCCATCAAATCACTCACCGTCACCCACATTTCTGAGGGACATGTAATGCTCTTTGTTGCCAATATATAAAATATTATCAAGAGTTAGTCATTTATGACAGTAAATACTACTAAATTTAATAATACCAATATAATTCAGGGTGAATTGTTTGGGTTATGGTCCTTGCTCTCTAGATATAGTAGAGGAGAAAGCGACCATGAGAAGGGTCCATAAATGATCATGTGCTGGCAATAATCCCAGGAGGAAAGTGAAAATTAGATTTCATGGAGAGCAATTTTGATTGATGGGTGATGGCAAGGTTATTTTAAAAATCCAGCAACATTCTTTCTCCATAAAATGACCATTTACTGCATGTAGTCACAGCACTTAAAATTCAGAGGACCTGGGCCTAGCCATCCACCAGCCCTGCGATTTCACAGGAAGAAGACATCATCATAAGAGTACCTATAACTCTTATCCATCACCATAACTTTGCTCAAGACCGTGTATCAGAATTGATGACCCTCTGAAAATACATAACCTGTAAGAAAGATGAGTGGAGTGGGAACCAATGCTTTTAAGTGTTTTATCACCCCTGAAGTTTAACTCACTCAGTAGAGAGTAGATATAACAGATAATAAACATTTTCCTAATGTGGATTTTATTTTCTCCGTGCTAGTTACTGGGGGACCAGTAAACGGGTATCCTACAGTTTAAAGCCTGAAGTGCCCTGACTCCTGCTGCTTTTTACCTAAAATGAAAGAGGGGAGCAGATGGAAAGGATTTGTGCAATCATTTAACTGCTCTTTCCTTGGAATCTCGGCATGATTAGAGAGAGACATGTAAGGTTCAACTTGCACGGAAACAACTTGCAGGACTCACCTCAAAACACATGACCAAAGAATGAGAGTCACGTAGCGCAGGAGCGTGAGTGGGCTGCCCGTGTGTAAAATTCCCTGAAACTTGGGGCAGTCTAATGACATCTAGATTCATTAGGAAAACTCTGGCAACTTTCAAAAGCGCCATCATCGTAACTGGGTATGCAAGATAACTGAGATTTTGATGTTCAATATTTGAAACTTACCCCTGGGACAATTCGTCTCAACAGCAATTCTAAGGGCACATTCAACTTCAACATGGCATCTCCAAAACACTGTACTTTACCTGGCAGGTGAGATGGCTCAGCAGATAAAGATGCTTGCAACCAAGCCAAGTATCCTGAATTAGATCCCTAGAACCCACATGGTGGAAGGAGAGAGCTGACTTTCACAAGGTGGTTTCTGACTTCCACATGTGTGCACACCTATGCACGGCACACATGTGTGTTAAATAAATAGATACCTTTAAAAACCACGTCTTACTTTCTCAGTCTCTACCGAACAAAGCAGCATTCTAGGCATTATCATCCCTTGATTTGAAAAAGGAGCCAGAAGCAAGAAGAGGCTTGCTCTTCCAGAATCAGTAATAAAGGTGGATCACAGATACAGGCTCATAAACACAAGGCAATCTTTAATCCTGTCTGTTAACTCACGCTCTACAAACAAAAATCCCTTGTGGCTTTTTTTTTTTTTTTGCTTAATTCCTTTTTAGATGATTGCAGGAGACAAGAATGATGGATGGCTCTTACTACTACCTCACTCTTTCTTATTGCCTATCTTGTTGAACAGGTACTTCTTATGTTGGTGTGAATGTCTTTTCATTTGGGGGCTAGTTCTAGAAAAGTGGAGAATCACAGTGTCTCCAGGCTGAAGGAATGGAAGAGACATCACTATCTGCTGCATTCAGCATGGCTCCAGGTACAAACCCTGACGGTAGCGACAAGAGAATGAACACCAAACACACAGTCACACAGAGAAGCTGGGATTGCGTGGCCTGGCAATGCCTCTGCTGGAGAAACCAGAGTACTCCAGAAACTCGGCATATTTCTTATAAACAGTCAAACAGAGATGAGGGGTTACTGCCCACAGCTGAACAAGGATATGGGGTTATCACCTACAGATAAATAAGGCGGCGGGGTTAGCTAATCTCCGTAGGAGCAGTCGCTGTAGGGGAGCAGTCTTCAGGTAGTAACCATCTGGGAGGGAGAAAACTCTGGTGGCCATTTCTGCACATAGATCAGTGGAAAGCTTTGCCAGCCCTCGGAGTCTCCCCAGGAGATGGGAGATGGGGCTGCAGATGGTGTGGGGAGCTTTGCCATTCTCGTAGCTCTGAGGCTTTGGGGTCCTTGACACGGCTGTGCCTGTGTCAAACAATACATATTCACGTAGGACTTCCCACACTCAGGCTTCCTCCGCTCTCCGCGTAGCCTCCTCTATTGTATCGGCGGAACAAACACTGCGCAAGGTTGAGAGCCTGGCCTCTGGCCATGCGGCTCTTGGCAGAGAAAGACCTGGCATCCAGTGACGTAAGAGGTAGAAAGTGGTTCCGTGTGTTTGTAGGTTGAGTCCCGGGAACATAGAACACCAATTAGAATAGTAATTCTGGTTCGTCTGTTATGATAAAAATGAAGAGAAAACAAAGCAGACTCCATTAAATAAGGAGTTATGACCAAATACACAAAAGGCCTAAAGTACAAAATCAACATTTATCAGGACAGCTCGCTCCTAGTCTACTTCACACAGTGCGAGTTCAGAGAGAAACAGTATTTTGATTGTAAACTATGACAGTGCAAGCTGTTTAAAATGCCAGGATGGGGCAGCCTGGCCTTGACTAATGAACAGGCCTCTGCGGCTATTCACTTATTATTTATTTTGCAGATATTACCCCGAGAAAAATTATCTCTGTGCATTGCTGCTGAGGACTCTCGGGGCTGTTTTGCATACAGACTCACCACGCTACGCTAATTGCTCTCACTTCCTTAACTTTATATTGAGCCAAGTACAGAAGTTTATGTTAGGGCCAAGCTCTCCATAGCATACTGTCTCTTCATTGAATTACAATTGATGGTTGATCTTGTTTGTCAACGTGACAGGTTTAGAGTCAGTCACATAGGAGAGAAACCTCTTAAGGTTGTGGAAGAGGACAATTCCAGGGCGGTTTAACTGCAGGTGAGGAGCTGTACCCTGAATACAGGGAGCACCACTCCATGGTCTGGGACCCAGCCTGAACAAAGAGGAGCTATGGAGCACCAGCCCTCATTTTCCCCAGCTTCCTGACCGGGAAGAAGGCTGTGTAACCAGCTGATTCACCCTCCAGCAGCCACAGGTTTCTCTGCCATAATAGAGTGTATCTCAAACCAGGAACCGAAATCAACGCTTCTTTCCTTATATTGCTTTGATCTGGCGTTTTTTTCATAGCAACTAGGCAAAGATAACTATCACAGAAACCAAGCTGTATTTTAATATGTAGGGCAAGCTATGAAACACAAGGGACAAACACATAAAACTCCGATGGGATTAGTTCTATTTTGGATTCAAAGGCAAGCTAACCAGTAGATTAGACGCATGCAGCCTGGCATCTGTGTTGGTTTTCAGACCAGGGTTGATTGCTGCCTTGAAATCATCAGTCTTCTCCCCAGTTATTATTCATGCATAGTGGGTGTCTCATCGGCCAGCCCCCAGCAGTGGGAAGATACCAGGAGCAGCACGGAGCAGTCTCAGCTGACTTCAGGGAGGGGCCTGCAGCTCGCCTTGGGAAGTTCCAGGCAACTCTTTAATACTGTCCAGGTACAGGGTTACGCAGGTGACATGACTTTGGAGCCAGCAACATGAGAAAGTTGAGCAGGGTGCCTCAGAGAAGAAAAGCATCTATCCGCCCCTTTCGCTGAAGGAGGCACTCGGCAAGCTGTCTCTTGAGGGCAGAGTTAAGATCTTCCCCAGCCCCAAATCGCAGCAGGGAACATAGCTTCGTCTTCATTCATGATTTCTCTCTCTTTTTTAAAAAATTTATTTATTTATTGTGTATAGAGTATTCTGTCTGCATACATGCCTGCAGGCCAGAAGAGAGCACCAGATCTCATTACAGAGATGGCTGTGAGCCACCATGTGGTTGCTGGGGAACTCAGGACCTTTAGAAAAGCAGGCAGTGCTCTTAACCACTGAGCCATCTCTCCAGCCCCATTCATTTGTTTTTTAAAAACAATTCTCTAGGCATTGCTAAGAGCCCTAACTGCTTTTGCAGGGAACCTGAGTGTAGCTCCCAGCTCCCATATTGAGTTTCTTGCAACTGTCTGTAACTCTAGCTCTGGGGGGACTGGATACCCTCTCGCAGTCTTTAAGGGTACTCACAAGTGCACAAGTGCACACTCATTTCTACACACACACACACACACACACACACACACACACACACCAATTAAAATAGAAACCCTTAGAAACAAACCTCTGCAACTTACAGCTCTACTGCTTTGTGTGTGTGTGTGTGTGTGTGTGTGTGTGTGTAGTGGGTGGGGTTGGGGGTGGCGGTGAGCGCACATCTGTGATCACCAGTGTGTGCTAACTGTTATCTTCTCTGCCATCTGGCAAGCCCCTCTCTACAGTCATAGTCCCTGAACAAGGTCACGTGACAATGCATGCCCTAACTCCTTTCACTTAAAAACAAAACAGAAAAACTAAAGACATCATTATGGTTTTGGAACAACAAGCATTGAAAAGCATCGAGCCTTGAAACAAAACAAAACAAACCATTGACCAGGACCTGATTCCATGCAGGCATCCACAGTGGACAGGAAGAAGAGGGAAGGCGCAGAATGAGGGAAGTGGGAGGAGCAAAACATTTCCTGTTTCCTACCTTTCTGTTTACCTGCTGCCCTGGAGAGCCCTGGTGGGAGCCATCTCTAGGAGAGCTCCCTTCTGGCAGTGTGGCACTCTCCCAGACCTCCCTTCTGGCAGTGTGGCACTCTCTCAGACCTCCCTGGGTGCAGGGCCTCACCACTCACCCTCTGAACCATGAACTCCCATCACCGGTCCCCAGAATCACTACAGTACTAGCTAAAATGCAGGCTCCTATGTGGTACCCAGACCTGCAGAGTCAGGTTTATAATAAAAACTCAGAGAGAAACTGGGGTTCAACCTGAAGGTCAGAAAAGCTAAGAAGCCAGCCACTGGTTCTTACCTCTGCCTCAGTCTGAAATGGCCATCCTGCCTCCAGGAATCTCAGAATGAGACTGTGTCTGAGAGCTGTCTCCTTCCGTTTTATATTTCTCCCTAGGGCTAGGATTTAAAGGCATGCACTTTCCGGCTTCTATGGCAACTCCTGTGGCTACTGGGGTTAAAGGTGTGTGTTACAACTGCCTGATCTGTAAGGTTGACCAGTGGGACTGTTTTACTCTGATCTTCAGGCAAGCTTTATTTATTAAAATACAAATGAAATGTCACTGCAGGGCGAGACAAACAACACCCCCAAGAGATCCTCGGGCATCATTGAGAACCCACTGGTAGGAGGTTTAGTTCAGTTTTAGCTGTTAACAATGATACCAGAAAAAGATACTCAACCAAAAGGCATTTTACTTGAATAAAATGAGACGTTACCTGGGCTTCATTCTTTTAGACATGATTTACTTCCCAGTTCACCCTGGCTTATGTGAATGGCACTGTGGGTGTGCTGGACTAGAATGTGCTGGAAGTTAGTATAAAAAAGAGGAAGTAGAATAAAGCATACCCTTTGCACATCTGCTGTTTTTATATAAATAAGTGAGAATTTCCTGTTTTTCTAAAATCATCAAAAGGTTTCTATTATCTATTTATAATATTTACTACTATTTTCAGATCTACTTTTCACTTCTCCCGTTTGAATGGCTATTTAAAGATACACCCAAGCACAGTTCAAGGAACCTGAGATTTCAGTGCAGTGGTCTCTCAAGTCACACCTAACATCCAAGGAAAGCCTCTTGAAAGGCAGAGGCAGTCATTTCAACAGATAGCCAGCGCCATCTAGTGGATCTAAATAAATGTCAACTTTAGCCCTTCGCACAGGCTGAGACTGTCTTTTAGACTCTTAGGGCAGGTTAGTTCTGATGCGACCTGGGGGAGGGACGACCCAAAACCTATTTTTTTTTGATGCTCACCTTCTCAAATATAAATCTTCACGATAATTATTCTAACTAGGGGGATATGGGAAATGAGCGATGAAGAATCTGAGACAAGTCCTAAGCATTCCACAAATGTCATTTTCAATAATGCTAAGCACAGAATCGTGGGAGGTGTAGTCCGGCCGTGGCACACACTGATAATAGCCCCTTCACAGGAAATGGCTTTTGAGTTTGCTCTGTGATGCTCTCCCAGCACACTGTTACACTCGATAAAAAGCTGAGGGTAAGACGAAGGAAATTGGGGCACTACATCTGGTAGCTGCAGCCCCAGATGGAGTACAATGTGGGCTTTTTCTCAGTCCTTCAAAACTGACTCCACTCAGAAGGAAAGTGTCAAGAGCGGGGAGAAGTGGGAAACAAAAACAAAATCTGACTCAAAATCAACACTGCCATATGTCCCCCAACCTGGAATCAGACCAGGGGAAATTCAGCTTCAGACACGTTCATCCAACAGAAACTCTGAATTCTCCTGCAGGCACGCCGCCCTCCAGGGAGTACAGGCAGGATGCAGAACTGTAGAAAACACAGCTAGGAAAAGACGACACTTCCTGTCCTCTCTGAGCGCTAACTGTTTTGAGAGCATCACCCTCACTATGACACAGAAGTGTATGCAAAAAATTAAGAACAAATACATAACAACTTCAGTTTGTTAAAGTGTGTTCTCAGGGGCCACACAGACTCTGAGCAGTTTGCAGAATGAGAAGAACAGGTGGGAAATAAAGCGGGAAAACATGTAGAGGCAGAAATGCACTCCTCAGGACTGTTTTATGCAAATACGATCAGTAAGGACTTCGTGTGGGGTGACTACAGAGTGAGAGGCACACGTTTTGTTTCCCTTTGGTTTGGACAGTTCTCACGTTGCATATATTTTCAAAGGCAACTGTTTAAAAAGGGAAAACACCAGAGATCATACGCAGTCTCCAGAGCTCTGTATTTTCTGTTTCCTTCCTCCGTCACATCACTAAGAAATGTGAAAAAATTTAATGGGCCTCGTTAAGCACCCAATATAAAAACTGGAGAAAGGGGTTGAGGACATGGCTCAGTAGGTAAAAGCACTTGCCACTTGAGTGGGAGGACATGGGCTCATATCCCTAAAGCCCCTTAAAAGCTGGAGGGGGTGACACACATCTGCAAGCCCAGAGCTCCTCTGGGGAGATAAGGAGTGAGAAAAGGAAAATTCCAGAAAGTTCACGAGCTAGCCAGTCTCAATCTCATATATGCCATGGGAAGACAACAGAGATTCTGTCTCAAGCAAGGTGGAAGGTGAAGACTGACACTTGAGATTGTCCCTTGTTGACAGAGATTTGTCCTGCCCAGTCCTGCAGCCGTTCATCCCAAAGAAATACACAGAGGCCGACATTAATTATAAACTGGTTGGCTTATTAGCTCAGGTTTCTTATTAACTCTTATATCTTGCATCTTAACCCATAATTCTTGTCTGTGTTAGCCATGTGGTTTGGTACCTTTATCAATGAGGCGTTCTCATCTTGCTTCCTCTGCATCTGAGTGACAGCTGCAGACTGAGTCTTTCCTCTTCCCAGAATTCTCCTGTTCTCATCACCCCGCCCCTACTTCCAGCCTGGCTACTGGCCAATCAGCGTTTTATTAAAAACAATACAAATGACAGGATAAAAGTCCCTGACCTCCACACCCATATTGGCACACCTGGGTTGCATTTGCACACGTGTATGTGTAGTACATAGACCTTCACATAGTATACATACTTACACATGCACACATATAAAGAAAATATGGCCTTGGTTCACAGAAAAGAACAGTGTGCAGGCGTGTAGAAATGATCTACCTATAACTATTCAAGAAGCAATTTGTGGTCCAGGAGCCCTGATGGCACCTGTGACAGTCCCACCAGAGACCTGATCAGCATTTTATCAAGATCAGTCATTGGATGATGTATTTACCGTTAAAGGTGGAGCAGGCGGCATTGATTTCTGACGTCTTTGTTCTCAGTGCAGCCCTGGTGTCAGGAGTTTACACAATGGTGAGTCTAATGGGCAACAGAGACCATAACTGCAAACCCCATCCAACCTCATTTCCCAAATGCGACATGGTAGTTCATAAACATTTGTGAATTTATCTAAGGCTTTCCAACTATTCAATAGTAGACTCCTAATAGTAGACTCCTAAGTACCTAATAATGGTACTTTCTTCCTTATTACAAACTTTTTTAATTTCTTATTTTATGTGTATGGATGTTTTGCCTGCAAGTATGCCTGTGTATTACTTGTATACAGTGCTTGTGGAGGCCAGAGAGGGCATCAGATCCCACAGACTGTTGTAAGCCTATAGTGATACTTTGTTTATGATCTAACAAATAAACCTTGCCTGAAGATCAGAGTGCAAAGCTAGCCACACTAGTTAGCCATGGAGGCTGGGCAGTGGTGGCCACACCTTTAATCCCAGCAGCCACACTAGCCAGCCATAGAGGCCACCCGGCAATTGTGCACACCTTTAATATCAACTCTAGAGAGGAATATAAGGCAGGATGAGACAGGAACTCACTCTCTCTTCAGTCTGAAGATTTCATAGAGGTAAGAGCTCTCCAGTGGTTGGCTGCTTTGTTTCTCTAATCTTTCAGCTTGAACCCCAATATCTGCCTCTGTGTTTTTATTAGTAGTCTACACAAGCTACCATATGGATGCTGAGGACTGAACCCCAGCCATTTTGAAGAACAGCCAGTGCTATAGCCTCTGAATCATCTCTCCAGCTCTTCCTCTTTATTAAAACATTTAAAAAGTCGGTGTCGCAGTATGGATAGCTGTCCCCTAATGGTGCAATGTTTGTTGCCAGCCTGTGCTGCTGTTGGGAGATGCTGCAGCCTTTTTGTGAGGCAGTTGCATGGAATACAGTTAGGTGAAGGGGGAAAGGGGACAGTCTCCTTGTTTTTTCTGTTCAGCTGTCATCAGGAAAGCTGGCCCATCTCACCAGTGCTTCCAAAGAAAAAGAGTCAAGTGACCATGAACTCCAAATGCATGGTCCCAAACAAATCTTCTTTGTAAGTTCGTTCAAAGTGTGATTTTAGATGATTATGTCTTGGGGTGACAGGGCCTTCTCAGGAAGCAAGCCACATAGACAGCAGGGAAGCTGTATTCCAGGTAGAGGATCTAGGGAGCTGGTGTGTGTGTGTGTGTATGTGTGTGTGTGTGTGTGTGTGTATGTGTGTGTGTGTGTGTGTGTGTGTATGTGTGTATGTGTGTGTGTGTCCCTGCACAAGCAGGTCCACTGCTCTGTGTGTGTGCTGGAGAGACAAGTTTTGTTTCTAAGCCCCTGACAAATACTGATCTTTCACATGTAGAGACAGGAAATCTGAACTGCAAGGTCTTGCTTCTCTTTTCTTTTGGTGCTGGTATCAAAGCAGCCTAAGCACACATAGGCTAAGTACAGATTCTGCAATTAAATTATTCTTAAAATACTTCCATATTTAAGAATTTAAGAATACTTTTGTAGGGGCTGGAGAGATGGCTCAGAGGTTAAGAGCACTGACTGCTCTTCCAGAGGTCCTGAGTTCAATTCCCAGCAACCACATGGTGGCTCACAACCACCTGTAATGAGATCTGGTGCCCTCTTCTGGCCTGCAGGCATACATGGAGGCTGAACACTGTGTACATAATAACTAAATAAATGTAAGAAAAAAAGAATACTTTTGTATTCTTACCATTATGATCCCCAAAGCAAGTGTTCAAGCAATGAGAACTATTAGGGCTGGAAATACTGCTCAGAAGTTAAAGGCTTGCCTCCTCGTATGTGTGTGTAAAGAAAACAAAGCACCCCCCCCAGGACAACACCACCAAAATACAAAGAAAGAAAACCCCAAAATCCAAATTATTAAATTTAGAAGAGTTTGGGAGAATTATAAATTATATTCCAATTCTGGAAAACGCAGAGACCATTACTAAGTAGTATTTGAATAATAAAATATTAACTAAGAGACAACTGATACCAAGGTCAAAGGAAGTAGCATTTTTGAGGGGAATAGAGGACACAGAATTATAGTTTAGGTCTACTGAACCAGGTTGTCCCTGAGCAGTATCTGTTAAGGTGAGCACAGGTGAGGTGTTTTTGTTTGGTTGGTTTTTAATAGGTGACCTCTACAAACAGTAGTTTGTGGAGGCAATCAGGTGGTGAGGCATTCTGATTAGTTAGCTAACAAGGCAGGTCCAGGTGAGAAATGCTGAAGGCACCGTGGACACTGTTTTCAGTTGCTTACCCCATTTTGTGTCTGGCTGTTAGCAGATGGGCAGTCCTCTCCCCGTATCTGGTCTCCACTTTAGATAGGCAACCTTAGCTACATCATTGTCCTTGCTTTTGGTACTGCCACGGCTCATACACAGGGCCTCTCACCTTCCAGTGAGGTACATGCCCAGTCTAGTTACTCATTTTTTCATATAGCATGTTAATCTACCAGTCAATACCGTGGATTGGGAATTGCGAAGGTAAGGAGTCCCAATATTTTGAATCCCAAACTCATTATTTCTTTGTTCTTTTAAAAATGTATGTATGTATATGTGCATGAGTGTATGCACATGTGCCATGATGCCCATGTGAAGATCAGCAGAAGCTGTGAGTGTGAGTTGGATCTCTTCTCCTACCTTTACATGGGATCTATGACTTGAGTTCTGGCTTCCAGGCATGCACAGCAAATGCCTTTACTTGCTGAGCTGTCTCCCTGGCCTGTTTTTATTTCTTGAATTTTTATAATGCATACAATGGTACCAGCTTCTTAATGTTATTTTATTCCCAAGAATGATTCAGTTCAAGTTGGGTGTTGTGGTACAGGGTTATAGTTCTAGTCCTCAAGAAGCCTAGGCAGAAGGGTGGCAAGTTCCAGAACAGTCTAGGCTACACACACACACACACACACACACACACACACACACACACACACACA